TACTAATCGTCTCCGTGAGGCTGGTGTGCGGTCACTGAGAGCATGCATAGGCATCCCACTGACCCGACATCACAGACAGGCACGTTGGATATTGGGCTGAAGATCACGTCAATTGGACAGACCAGGACTGGGCTCCAGTACTTTTCACTGATGAATCGAGATACTGTCTTGACTACACAGATCGTCGTGCCCGAGTGTGGCGTAGACAAGAAGAAAGATTTCAGGATGCCAACGTAGCCGAGCATGAACGCAAAGGAGAGGGGTTAATCATGTTATGGGGTGGGATCAGAAGAGCCGGAAGAACCGTGTGGATCAGTAGTGCTGAAAGAAGCGATCTCCATGTCCTCCATGTCCTACAACGGGACACGATGAATGGTGTTGCGGTACAGGGATGACATTCTAGATGTGTACGTGAGACTGTAATGGGGGTGCAATAACCGCAGAAATTTCTGTGAGCAAGAGGGATTACCCTGGACATTCTTAGCTATGGGGGAGAATCTACCGCGGTCCAAAAGCAATGAGAATGTTTGTAGTATGATGAGCTTTTGCCAATTATTACGAATATTTCTTCTTCAAACAGTGGAAAATGTATTTGATTTTCGTCATTTGGAACTCGAAATATGATTCATTTAATGTTGACGAGTAGCCGGAAGTTGACATTCACGATGGTTGTGAGATTAACATTTGAATGATTAACTTACATTTTTTATGGACAAATCTGAAAGGAAACGTATCATAGCACATTCTAAACTCAAAACTCAGCATACTATTGGGCCACTAGAAATAGTTCAAAATTCGTCCATCTCGCACATGAGGGTACGCTCTGAAAACTCTTCAACCACTGCTGCCTTATCTAAAGGCTAGGCAATTATCATCTGAAATAAGATCGTTTGTCATATGAAATTGGTATATCATTATGAAGAAAGAGATGTATGTCTGTCCATTTAGTTTTTGTTTGGAATCTGAGTTTAAAACCTGAAGACATGCCCATTCCTCTTTTCTACTTGATTCCAAAGCTCCATAAAAATGCGTACAAAGAGGGGGATATTACTCTGCCCAGCAGTGTACATGTACCACCAAATCCCTGTCTCAAAGATTAACTATAGTCCTAAATACCATCAAAGAGGGGCTTTCTCAAAAGCTCAAATGATTCTTTTTTAAAGTTTTGCAATCACATAAAAGAATCATGTTTAATTCTATCATAACATTTGATTTTTAAAATTGTACACCAATATAGCACACGACAAACTTCATTTATTGATCCCTAAACGTGGTGACCATAAATAGAGTTTATTAGCTTAAACATGTCTATCTTCAAAGATGCAGAACAATTTGTTTCAAAAGTGAAAGTGTACGTCCCCTGAGGTGTACTGAGAAACCAATATTTGAATTGAACATGCGAAATGTGGGTAATGTACAGTTAGGCAAAAAGAAAACATCCCCATGGGCATCAATTTAAACAATAATGATACAAATTCAAGCATATCCTTGGTTTTTTTAAAATCCCTTCACATGTTATTAATTCCACTTATCTCAAACAATGAAAGGCCTTCTTAGGTTGTATTAGGGATTACAATTAAAGTTTGAGACAGGTATTATGGAAGTACATTTGCTGGACCTAATAATATATGTCGGTTTGCACGGATGTTTATGGAGCTTTGGAATCCAGTATAAAAGGAGAACAAACTGATGTATGTTGCCATTCGATCCTGCTTTAAGCAGATATTTCTAAAGAATATGGAAAGGGTTTTGTCGCTTTTATTTTCAGGCACAATTGACTTTGCATATGATTTTTGACAGGTGACACCGATGATGCACGATTCGCTCAACTTTTCGCCAATACCTGGTATCATCACTATTTGAATCCTAAACACCTGCTTATGGAATCGGACTTGAAGATGTTTCTCATAATCATGGAAAGGGTTTTGTCGTTTTATTGTCATATCTATTCAACTTTTCTTTCCTTTTGTTAGTTAAAATCCCACCAAGGCCAGAGTAGATGGACCCGTGAGTGGGTCAGCTGCAATCTTTTATGAGATCTCCCTCATGAAACCCTGTCTACAGCAAGATTTTGTTTGTTTGTTGTTTACCGCCGCACTCAGCAATATTCCAGCTATGTGACGGCGGTCTGTAAATAATCGAGTCTTGACCAGACAATCCAGTTATTGACATCATGGGCATCGATCCACGCAATTGGGATACGATGACATGTATCAACCAAGTCAGCGAGCCTGATCACCCGATCCCTGAGTCGCCTTTTACGACAAGCATAGTTGCCTTTAACGGCAAGCATGGGTTGCTGAAGATCTATTCTACCCCGGATCTATACAGGTCCCGCAGCAAGAACGTGACACCTATGTTACTGATAATGTATACCACTTTTATAAGATTAATCTCTGATTATGTTGCTAAGTATGCATCATACTTATTTTCGTAAGTTTAAACAAAGTGGTAAACGTCTAATACCTACATCACTTCGGGCTCTTCTCCAATATCAATCAGACACACTGGAATATACTGTAATGATGTTAAAAGTAGCGTTCAACCAAACTCACACGCTATATGCCTAACAAATGGTCAGTAAAGTTTCGTAGTCTACTTTGTGTTAGATATTTCACTCTGCGTAAAAGGTGACTATGCTTGTCGTAAAAGGCGACTAACGGGATCGGGAGGTCAAGCTCGCTGACTTGGTTGATGCATGGCATTGATCCCAATTGCGTGGATTATCTTAATTATCAGGGGCGGCCGGGTAGCCTAGTGGTTGAAGCGTTGGCTCATCACGCCGAAGATCCGGGTTCGATTACCGACATGGGTACAAATTGTCAAGCCCATTTCTGGTGTCCCCCGTCGTGATAGTGCTGGAATATTGCTAAAAGCGGCGTAAAATCAAACTCACTCACTAATTATATATCAACAGACACAGGTCATGGATATATTTGGCGATCAACCTTGTAGGTTAACTTCAAAAGAACATTGTAAATGTTCCAGTTTTAAACAAGGAAATTTCATTATATTTACCAATGTAGCAACAGAATTGAGGAAACATTCGTGGTGACGTATACACTTTATAGCATCCTTATTTGAAACACATACATGGTTCGTTTTTTGCTTGTTTGTTGTTTAACACCACACTCTACAATATTCCAACTATAAGACGGCAGTATGCCAATAATCAAATCAGGAGCAGACAATTCAGTGATTGACAAAATGAGCATCGATCTACGCAATTGGGATATGTGCTCACTTTGTCAATCACTGAACTAAGACATGCATCAAGTCAAGTCGAGATCCATCAGATAGATTTGTCAATAGACTTATATGAATAGACTGTTCGTAAACTGTTTCTACATTGACGTTCATTATTCCCCAAACTCTCTGACGGTTGTAACATTGTGAACGTCGAGTGTCTCAAACATTTCGTTTTACTATATTTGTTGGGACAGAGACTCACAAACGTGTGGAATCTTGATCAAGGCACATAAGAAATCATTGAAGGTCTCTCTCATTATCTTATCTTATTAACGTCACTCTTTTCCACTACCGTTTAATCGTTTTTCCTTACAACAAAATACCTTAGTTTACTCATAAGCAGTAGAATCAATGCACTTGTACACGGAAGTTTAGAGTTTCTAGTTTCAACAAAACGTGCTATCGTGTCAGTGGATTTTCTGGTCCATCACTAGATTGTCAGGCGAATACCTGGTTTCATCACCGATTTTCAGTAATCCGTTCTTAGAATTGGCACCGCTATTTTGCCTTTTACGCCCAATGAATTCTGCTTCGTCGGATAATCGAGACTGTTTTTTTCTGTCGTTGAAGTTTTGTATATATTTTATGCTTTATTTATATATCTCTAAAAGCAGAATGTTACGACCCCCCCCCAGAAAAACAAAAAAAACAACCACAAAAAAAAAAAAAAAAACCACAAAAAAAAACACACAAAAAAACCAAACAAAAAAAACAAAACAAGGTGAGGTGAAATGGGGATTTAACGTCGCGTCCAAAATTATTGCACTTATATAGCGACGTGCATGTACGTGTGTGTGTTTGAGTGGCTGCTTGTACTAGTCCGGGCTGATGCCGATTTAAAGTGCTAGCCCACTGAGATACCATGCCGCAGTTTAACATGAATACCCCAGACACAGTATACTGACTCCGAGCCGACCAGTCCTTGTTTTAGCCCCTTAATGCCGAGCGCCAGACAGGGTAACAACAAGTACCATCTTTTAACGTCTTTTGGTACCCCCCAAAACAAAACAAAAAACAACAAAATAATAATAATAATGATAATAATAATAATAATAATACAATTCATAATAATAACAAAATAATAATAATAAAATATTCACACAAAAAACACAAATTATCGAGCGTGTCTTATTTGAAATTGTGAAACGCAAAGCGTCCACAACAAACGTAAGTCATCTCACAAACCTGTGATCAACGATTCCCCTGGCAAATACCCCCCAGTAATTGAATAACCCTTTTGCAACCATGCACAAGCGATAACTTTGAGCCTAACATTGAAAGGTTAAAGGGTTAACGGCATAGGCATTCATGCGTGTTTACACAGCATGCACTTGCATACTTACTCCTAGGCTTGCATTGTAAAACAGTAATTACAGACTCATTATTATTAGTATTAGACAGCAATAAACGAAGTAGCGTAGCAACACGTGCCTAGAATTGCATGATACACTTTTAGTGTAAGTGATTATATGTCATATTGAACAAGAAGTTAATATCACTGAACTTCAACCAATCGTTATGATACTCACAATGCTTTAATTCTCCACTAAAACCAGCTTACAATGGATGATTATGACATAATTTGGTCCGTGATTATCTGAAATACCACAAGAGAGATTTTCGAGTTGCCTTCATAATCCGTTCGACACTGAGCGAACCTTGTTCAAACATGACCTGAGCTGGCTATGGCGACCGAATGTTTACCAAACGGCCATGTAACGACGTACCCCATTGGCTGAAATGTTATCAGCAAACTTCAATTCAGGACGTATGTGGGTTCCCAAACCGCTGTGAACACATATATAGACCTGTCCTGTTGGTTCACCCAACCAATTCGTTTCAGGTGCATTTTATTATTTCCGTATCGTTAGGTTTAAACAAATTTAACACATCATCATGTCTGTTGAAGAACTCTGGAATAAGCTGAAGACTGCCGTCGGGTGTAAATCTCTGTTAAAAAAACACTTAACCGAAGAGAGGTATAAGACTTTGAAGGGGAAGAAAACTGCATTCGGGGGAACTTTAGCGGACTGTATACGTTCTGGTAAGTGTTTTTTGTGATATTAGCTCGTTTACAAGAATACCAAACTAAGACCACTCACACAGCGCTATTATTGATTACTTTGTCATTGGGTGCCCTTGCCGACTGGAGATGTGTATTTCAGAAGATATATTGTAATTTTTATTCATAATGCACCATTTGTGTAAATTAATGGGGTTAAAAATAAAATGAATACCAATTAAAACAGGTATATTTTATTTTCTAAAAAAAATAAGAAATACCTCGGTGAGGACAAGACGCCATTTTAAGTCTGAGTTACATCGAAACAAAATGTAATCTGATCCCCCACATAAACATATTACCATGCAACAATCTGTGTGTGTAATTGATTTGTGTGTAAATAATTGGTTGAAGTTGTTTAAAATTAAATAGGAGTTAAACTGACTGCAAAAATTCCATGCGGATGTATTTTCTCCTTGACCTCATTGGATTTGACCTAGTGGTAGGCAGATGAGGGGCGAGTCTGAAAAGGGGTACTGTTTGTTTCGAGAGATAGGCATGTGAAAGAATGACAATAGTGTTACCTCATTTGTGCTGATACAACAGGTACACACTAATAATCAATATATATGTATATGTAAATATATACATAATATATACTTAAGCAAATAAACAATCTCTCTCTCTCTCCCTCTCTCTCTCTACTTAATATATATATATATATATATATATATATATATATATATATATATATATATATATATATATTGTTTATATTATCGAAAATATGAAACCTGTTTCTGACAACGTGTGCATAGCAGTCCTTGGTAGCCATTGTCGCCACGGTGTACACTTCCGTCATCTCACGTGAATATAAACAACACGTTTACAACTATTTAATGATTGAGCACTTATCATGATATAAGTATGTATTCATATATGTGTATTCGGGAGGCTTTGTTCACGTATAATTAAACGGTAAAACGTCGTTGACTATACACAGATGACCTAGCACACGACCTAGCTTCATTTAATTTCTAAAATCCACGTCACATTTAAATCAACTGGAGTATGACTGCATCGTGCTGCAACCTGTGTTTTACAAAATAAACAATCAAAGTTTGTACAGTGTTATTGAAATGTTAATGGGGATAATAATAAGACGTTTCTTACCAGCTATATACTTTTACATATGCATGTTATAAATAATCTGGGGGCGGTCGGGTAGCCTAGTGGTTAAAGCGTTCGTTAGTCACGCTGAAGACCCGGGTTCGATTCCCGACGTGGGTACAATGTGTGAAGCCCATTTCTGATATTGCTGGAATATTGCTAAAAGCGGCGTAAAACTATACTCACTCACTCACTATAAGTAATCTGTATATGTATGTATGTGTATACATTCATTGACGGACAAAGTGATGATTCAGGAACATTTTATTGTAGCGTTTAGTAGTTGGTATTGGTGTGTTTTAAATTGTTTTGGTTGTGGGAGCGGGGGTGTTACAGGCACCTCTACACGGGAGAATACTAGCACTTAATCAATCAGTATTATGGTCCATCGATCACTAAACAGGCCTAGTCACAACAAGGTGCAGTGTGACGTGGGAACCAGGCTGTAACCTTAATTTTAGCTTCACGTTAACTATATTCGCGGTTAATCTATCGTTAGTGAAATAATATGTTCGGCAACATTCCTTTTTAAATCATTATTCTCCTTTTGTGGAGAACATGAGTCATGTTGCCACATTCAACTTTATCAACAGAGATAGAGATTTATGGTTATAAATCCTACTAACTCACAAAGGGTACAATGCGGGTGTTGACAATATGGCTGACTGACAAAGGTCGAACAAGGACGTAGCATATTCCGCTGACCTGGCTGATTCGATATTCCCGATACACAGACACTCAATGTTGTAGATAGGCAGATTGATAAGAAGGGACCGGCGTGTATTAACATAGGTAGGTAGGTAGATAGATAGGCAGATAAATAGATAGATAGGGATATGTAAAAGTATGTATGGCTGTGTGTGGTTGTGTGTCGCAGACAGACAGACAGACATACAGACAGACAGATAGACATACAGAGTGATACATAGCTGTACGCATTATAACTCGCAATGGCGTGATACAGGATATCTTGCCTGCTGATATCGCAGTGCTATGTAGTGAGAGGGCGAGTTATGACGAGGAATCCTTGGCATACCACAACTGCACAATGTAAGGGTGAGTGAGTGAGTGAGTTGGGTTTAACGCTGCTTTTAACAGTATTGCAGTTATATCACGGCGTGTCAGCTTAATGTGGGAGGAAAGCCCGAAGTGATGCAGGCCTCAGACGTTTACCACTTCGGTGAAACCCACGAGCACGGGTATGGTGCTGACAAACCTAGAAACATAATCGGGGCGAACCGGGATTCGAACCCACAATCATAGGTATCTGGCGTGCCCAAGGGACGCAACTCTGCACAGCGAATCGCGGCGCCTTAGACGACTGGGCCACTCGTGCCGCCAATGTAAGAACTGATTATTACCATGAAAGTTGTAACAAATGTTGTGGACTTGTAAATATAAACGACAAAGAAATTCGATCGACTAAAAAGATCAGTCTGGTGTCCCCCGCCGTGATATTGCCGGAATATTGCTAAAAGCGGCGTAAATCCATAGTCACTCAATCTTTCCTTGACATTGTATGACCTTGACAGGAAGCTTAAACATATGCCTGTCTGTCCTTTAGGATGCGAAAACCTCGACAGCGGTGTCGGCATCTACGCCTCCGACCCCCAGGCATACACTGTCTTCGCCGACGTCCTGGACGCTGTCATCAAGGACTACCACAAGGTCGATACACTTAATCACCCTGAACCTGACTTTGGGGACATAACAAAACTCGGCTTCTCTGACCTTGACCCTTCTGGTAACTTCATCGTATCCACCAGAGTGAGGGTGGGCAGGAGCCATGACAGCTATGGCTTCCCTCCAGTCATCACCAAAGAGGTAGCTAATAATATAACAACTCGTAATCGATAGATAACATTCAGATAAGTGTTGCCTTCGGAGACATTTAGACAAGTGGTGTCTGCTATAAATTCAGCCAAATGGCAAGTATTACAAGATTGAACGATATTTCATCAGCAGGAAGATTAAGCAATAAATTCTGTCTGCTGTCTGCTGCAGGATTCAGCCTCATATCGTCTGTTGCGAGATCTAAATAAATGTCGTCCGAAGCAAAGTTCATAATCATGAATGTCATCTGCTGCAAGAATCATAGTTATGAATGTCGTCTGCTTCACGAAACATGTAAATGTCGTCTGCTTCAAGAATCAGGAAAATATCGTCTGTTGCAAGTTTCAGATAGATCCCATCCGTTGCGATTTTGAGACATTGAAGCATAACGATAGACCGTTGAATTCCTGTATTTGCACCGGCCATGCCTGCTGTACAATCCACTAATAGTTGCCTTATTAATTTAGCAACGTCTGGCGATGGAGGCGGCGACTGTGTCCGCACTGGATAAGCTGAAGGGCGAGCTGGCCGGCACGTACTACCCCCTCACTGGCATGACGAGGGATACACAGAAGAAGCTGATGGACGATCACTTCCTCTTTAACGACAGCGACAGGTGAGGGCATCATATTTGGCATTCACAACAACAAACAAGTACTAACTCGAAGCATATTTCGCACTGTTGTGAATCGAATATGTCGGCCATCTCCCACTTTCTCTGCAAGACGAACCACCGATGGAAGACACGTTGGAAGATGATGTTATATATACGTCCCATTTATGCCACATGGTTCTCCGGGAAATATGTAGCAATATAAACTGCAAAAGAAATACATTTGAAAATTGGATTTGACCAAAATATTACACACGTTATTTAAACATTACTAGCTCAAAACAGTGGCCGGAGTTCTGCACAACTTAGGTCCAAAACACAACTTTGATATCCGTCTCAAGTACACCACCATCAAACAGCCATTTTGTGTTTGTTTCATTTTTAGCCACCAACTGACATGGGTGTATACTTTCTGTTGCCCAGGAGTTTATTTTCTTCCGGCTTGGTCCAGACAGAGACCATACCTCCGGTCCAGGTTATGATCAATGATGTCAGCACCATGCTTTGGTATATTCGTGGTAAACGTTAGCTGACACGCCATGACATTACTAAAACAACGATCAAATCTCACTAAGCCCAATTCCCTGACTCACTGTTTCTGTGTTCCAGGTTTCTCCGTGACGCCGGTGGCTACAAAGACTGGCCCTCTGGCAGAGGCATCTACTTCAACCATGCCAAGAACTTCCTGGTGTGGGTGAACGAGGAGGACCATCTGAGATTCATCTCCATGCAAATGGGAGGCAACCTTGGAGAAGTCTACAGCAGGCTGGTCAAGGTCAGTCAGATCACATGCAGTCTCTTTGTCAAACAATAGGTTCATTTGACATCACCAGTACCCTTGCTGTAGCACGAATTGATGCAAAATATCTTGACTCTTGATGCGTATAGATCTCAACCAATGTTTGAGTTTAAGATCAGATATGATACTGAACAGATGTGTCTAAAACTAGAGAGACTACAGCATGAAGAAGGATGCTGGTCAAAGATCTTGTGTACTACTAACTTGTTTGTTTGTTGTTTAACGCCGCACTCGGCAATATTCCAGCTATATGACGGCGGTCTGTATATAATCGAGTCTGGACCAGACAAACCAGTGATTGACATCATGAGCATCGATCCACGCAATTTCGAAACGATGACATGCATCAACCAAGTCAGCGAGCCTGACGCCCCGATCCCGTTAGTCGCCTCTTACGACAAGCATAGTCGCCTTTTACGGCAAGCATGGGTTGCTGAAACCTATTCTACCCGAGATCTTCACGTGTCTGTACTACTACTTAAGTCCTTAATCCCAAGACCACCTTAACATGCTCTCTATCTCTCACAGGCCATCCGTGCAATGGAGTCCAGCGGTCTGTCATTCGCCAAGCGTAAGGGTCTGGGCTACCTGACGTTCTGTCCCTCCAACCTGGGCACCACGCTCCGTGCGTCCGTCCACATCAAGATCCCCAAACTTGCCTCCTCGGCGGAGTTCAAGGCCTTCTGTGATCGCTACAATATTCAGGCTAGAGGTAAGACTGCCGAGATTGGAGTTATCATTCCGGACAGACGCATCCACAGCAAAATCAGATGGCAAACATATTGTAGGATTGCCATCGAACAGTCATGTCACGAACGGGTGTAGCAAGGGCAAAGGGTACCACAATGTTTACTCGAAATAATGAGATACACTAAACTACGGTTATAACGAACTTAAAGGGGCTACATATTTTAGTTTGTTATAAACGCAGTTCGCTAAAAGCATATATACAGCGTATATACAACAAATGGACGGGACCAAATATATACAGTTCGTTATATCCGTCAGTTCGTAATAAGCGTGTTCTTTATAACCGTAGTTTATTTTAAGTTCAATCAATATGTAGTACTGCTGCTATGTGCAGACATGGGATTCCTTTGTGGCATGTAGACCACGTGTTACCTCAGGTCTTCATGACTGTGTTATGACTCGATGGCGATCTATAAATTAACCTGTCAGCTGGCGAAGGAGTGTAGTTCGGGGATAGAATAGCTGGATCAGCAATACTGATCTCGCATTGGTTCATGATGCAGGGCTCTCAGGTGCCGCAATTTGCTGTGCAAAGTTGCTTCCTGCTTTTTGTAGGACACATGTTCACCTATGAAGAAGATTGTTTCAGTTGATTAGCTTAGGGACCGCCTCCGTGGTCCAGTTGTAGAGTGTCCGCCCGGAGAGCGGAAGGTCCGCGTCATACCAAAAGACGTTAAAAAATGGTATTTGTTGTTACCCTGTCTGGCGCTCGGCATTAAGGCGCTATTACAAGGACTGGTCGGTATCTCGGAGTCAGTATACTGTGAGTTGGGTATTCGTGTTAGACTGCGGCGTGGTGTCTCAGTGGGTTTGAACTATAAATCAGCATCAGTACAAGCAGCCACACACACACACACAAGCACTCACGTGTATGCACGACGCTATGTAAGTGCAATAATAAGTTTTAGGAAGCCGTCAAATCTAAAATATTGGATGATAATTTCACTTTTTCAGGTATCCACGGTGAGCACACCGAGAGCGTTGGGGGTGTCTACGACATCTCCAACAAACGTCGTCTTGGTCTGACGGAGTTCGAAGCCGTTCAGGAGATGAGACGAGGCGTTGAGGCCTGCATTGTGGAAGAGAAGAAACTGGGAGGGCGCAGGAAGTGGTGGTAACGCCCCTGGCGGAAGTCAATTAGGTAGCAGACGACAGTCAAACATGTGAGGCAGGCGACATCAGGAAGGACCAAAACATCTCCATCCATACTACATCTTTGCATTTAAAACCACCAGACATTCATAGCTGTCGTTGCGTAAAGCCTAACTAGATCAATCATGACGTACTTTGACGAGTTGGTAACAGGCGAGCATCATTGCTTTTGCATCATGTCTGTATAGTCGATATATAGAAGCATTTGAAAGACTAGTCGGATATCTGTGATCTGATTAGTCAGGAGATTTGGACAAGACACTATTTCAAATGCTTCTGCAGACTAGTTTCGGGCGCTTTCACCCCAATCCATGGGGGCTGTGATACGTGTGACAGAAAAATATATTTTACGTAATACAAATAAAGTGTTATTTTACGACACATGCTCTTCATGTTGTGGATTATCGTTGTAGACTGCAGGCCAGTTAAAAGTATACACCCATGTTTGATGGTGGGTAAAAATGAGTGTGTAAGGTTTTACGTCGCTTACAGCAATAACGCATCAATATCACGGTGGGGACCATTCGTGACAAACTCGTGTTATTCCGGGACAAGCCGAATAGCGGTTACGGAAAGAGGCGAGTGGTGACGAATGGGCGGGGACACCAGAAATGGGCTTCGCACATTCACGGGTCTTCGGCGTGATGAGCGAACGCTTTAAACATTAGGCTACCCCGCCGTCAAGCTAAAACTGAAACAAAAAGAAATGGTTATTCGAGGGTGATGTATTTGAAACACGTACAATGGTAGTATTTTGGCCTTAGGTTTGCAGTGTTTCTGCGAGCCTCGGTTGTTTGTTGTTTAACGCCGCACTCAGGAATATTCCAGCTTTGTGACGGCGGTCTGTAAATAATCGAGTCTGGACCAGACAACCCAGTGTTTGATATAATGAGCATCGCAATTGGGATACGGTGACATGCATCAACCAGTCAACGAGCCTGACCACCCGATCCTGTAAGTCGCCTCTTACGACAAGCATAGTAGCCTCTTTCGACAAACATGGGTTGCTGAAACCTATTCTACCCCGGATCTTCAAGGACTCTTTGAGCCGAGAACCGTTTTGATAATGTTTGTACTTTTTTGTGTGTCAAAGCCAATTTTCAAGCACATACTTTCCTCTGCCCGTAAATAGTAAACGACACTGTCAGATGAATGAAATCACACACAATCTGACATAAAAAATGGCAATCTACCTGAAAATAGACATGGATAGGGGTGGTGTTTAACTCCGCTTGAACAGCGTGTATCACGAGTTGAACTTTGTAAGGATTCTTTAACAGTATTCCAGTTATATCACGGCGTGTCAGTTTAATGTTGGAGGAAAGCCCGAAGCGATGTAGGTCTCAGACGTTTACCACTTCGGTGAAACCCACGAGCACGGGTATGGTGCTGACAAACCAAGAAACATAATCGGGGCGAACTGGGATTCGAACCCACAATCATAGGTTTCTGGCATGCCCAGATGACGCAAATCTGCACAGCGAATCGGGCGCCTTAGACGACTGGGCCCCCTAAAAGGGAGGTTGTCTAATGTGGCAGTGTTTAATCCTCAAGTCGAAGAACTACAGTCAGACACCATTGTGAGGAACTTTCGGTTGTTTCGAAGTAAAACTTTGGTCCCTCCGTGTGCCTTCTTTCTTCGTCATTTCCGGATAACTCGAAGCATTTACGGAGATCACTTCAACTTCGACACAACGGTGTTAGGCAGTAGCTCAGTTCCCCATATGATACAATTTGTAAAGCCCATTCATTGTGTCACACGTCGTGATATTGTATGTTGTTTAAGGGGTGTTACACAAGAGTTACTCGCTCACACAGTAAGGGAAAAAGATAATTTCACCCGAGTGAGTGAGTGAGGTTTTACGCCGCTTTTAGCAATTTTCTAGCAATATCACGGCGAGGGACTTCACACATTGTACCCATGTCGGGAATCGAACCCGGGTCTCCGACGTGACGGGCGAACGCTTTACCCACTTAGGCTACCCGACCGCCCCTCATAATCTCACCCGAACGTAGTCTAAAATCAAATATATTAACACATGTACAAAAGCTTTAAACTCCCAGGTAAAATAATCCTTTCAACGTTTTCATCTTGTAAACAGTAATAACCAGTGTCGTGGGAGTAAAAAGGACAGCTAACCTGGTTCGGTGGCATAGATAAGTGATGTCATTTGATTGTGATGTTATGTAACGATGACGTCATAATGGTCCACAAAGCATTGTGTTCAATTCCATAGAAGCGATATCTATACGATATCACCTGATGTCTCCCAAGCATATCTCCTGTGGAAGCAAGTTTTGGACGATAAAATACGTTATCATTACCCGTTAAAAAATCTAAATATCTCATTGGCCATGCTGTATATCTTTATATAGTACTGTAAAAATCCACACAAGTCGGCTGGAAAAGATGACGTCATTGTTTATGACGTGACGTCACTTGCTTGTTACGTCACAAAGACCCTGTTCGCACCTGCCATACCAAGTCCGAGCTACTATTGTCGTCCTCAAAAAATTATTTCAGCGAAATAAGTCTTAGAAGCTTGTGATCTTGAAATTTATAAATTGGTTTATATGTGTCAATAGTGAGGTCAACGTCCTTGTGACCTCGGTTAACAAGCCCATTCACCTCGTGAAATCCCATACACCTGTAAGGAACACATCCAACTCAAAATTATTATTTCACCATCTAGCGGTATGTCCTGTTTGAACTTCAAAAGCGTTACACCGTACTCACAAGGGCCAATATATGGAGAGAACCAGTTGTGACATGTAAGTATACCCAAGAGTCTTGTAATCAGGAATAGAATGAAATACGTAAAGTTGTCTAGCCAGCGTTAATTATAATGTGTGACTGAAAGAGGTGTCACATGTCAAAATCGCTTGACAGAGTTCCACGTCCTTGTTCGGGTTGATAGAGTGCTCATTGGCCTTCTCCAGAGGACGTAGCAAGGACAGTCAATGACGAGCCCGCTAGCTATATATAACGCCACAACTCGGTGTACCTACCTACAGGTCAGATCTCGTATCACAGGGCGACTGACACAGTTTTATACACCGGCAAGTTAAACCGGCGTGATAAATGATCAGTAATTGATATTGTAGTGGTCGTGAATTTAATATATTGTAGCGTTCCTGTGTTTCTACGTGTGTTGTTGAGAATGCGTAACCATTTTTGATTCGAGACATCACGTAAATTATTATATTTCATTTTGAAACTTAGTTTTTAACTGTATTTCAACGATATTTCGGCTTATTAGCTGAGTTTGAGAAGGTTTAAAGTGACGCCGGTCGTAGATATTGACTACTTAGGCGAAACACACAAGCATGTCCAAGGTTTGAGATCGGTGCTACTCTGGGGTTCGAAGGCACAAAGGGAGGGCTGCCTCTTCTTCCACGAACGCGGTAGTGCTTGCATACGAGAGATATAACCCTAAAACGGCTGTCTACGGTCGACTATTATTTCAACGTTGACCAAGGGACAATATACAAGCAAACAAAATACGATTGTTGAATGACTTTCTGGTTGTACGCGAATAAGGCAGAGGGAAAAAGTATTGACAGTGTCAGTAGTGTCAACCCCCAAGTGTCAAAGTAGATGTCATCAACGTCACAAACAGACACGACTTAAAAAAACATACATTTAAAATTTATAATTTCATATTTTAAACATAATCGCCCAGATATAATATTATGAACGCTATTTTACATCGTGTGCATAGGATTGCTCAGTTTTATTTGAACAATCTTTGACAACGGCCGAGACAAGACGGTCTGACGCATCCTGTCTTGCAGAAAGCTGAGGTAATCAATCACGTCCACCGACCGGATCCGAACAAGAGGGCAACCGCACGTACCACAAGCTTGTCTTAAACTAAACTGAACACGTTATGGGCAATTTCTTACAAGATCCCAGCCAATGTGCTGATTAATCAATATTCATTGACCCACTCCCTATAAAGAGGAGGATATACGACCATAGCTAATCTTCCAGGCTGGACATATCCCGTCGTCTTATATAATTACATCCTAGCCACAGAATTGATCTTGTGCTCATAGTACTGGATGTTTGTGTTCAAAATTACAGAGACCGATCTTACTAACAGAAGTCTGAAAATTGCTTTGTCAGTTGGTAGAGGGATTACCCAACGCACACGTTGCTCAGCGCTGTCAAATATGTTCCCATTTGGCTCCGTCTGGGGAACAATGTATTTTCAGCCAAACTACGATGTGGCGACAAGGCTGGGATCTCAATGGAGGATTGCAATCTGTGCGAAGGAACAAGCAGGTTATCCTGACCTAGCCATTGGGGTCATACCTGTCGGAACGTTTATTGACATAAGTTCGCCTTACCATATTTACTCTGGAGTGGGAGACGTGGCTTGGGGAAGGGGTCAGGTATGGTTTCGCACTCAGGGGAAGGCAGGAAGGCTGACATGACCTTGTCGATTTGCCAAGGCACCTTTCTGGGATCTAAGGTCGATTAACACTATTCAACTGATATCGTATTTTATTATGTTCATTATTAGATTTACGTCACCACTTTTAAAAAATGTGAGACAGGAAGTATTTTGTTGTATTGTATTTGGTTCTAACAAACGGTTAAAGGCATCTATTTACCCTGTCCACCCGAGTGTGTGTGTGTGTGTGTGTGTGTGTGTGTGTATGTGTGCGTGTGCGTGTGCGTGTGCGTGTGCGCGTGCGTGCGTGCGTGTTTGTGTGTGCTTGTACTCACCCAGACTAATACCGGGTATATAGTTCTGATAGTTTATAGTTAATGATACCACACTCAGACACAGTACACAGACTCTGAGCCGACCAGAGTACAACCTGTACAAGTATAGGTTTGGTTATGACATGGCCGAGGATCCAGGGATCAAACCACAGACCCTGTGCTCTCCAGCCAGACCCTCTATCCACTAGACCACGGAGGCAGTCTTCTTCATGTGTATACTTGGTGACAATACAACTATCTGGAAGTGAGAGCTGGCAGGGATGAAAATCTAATCATATTCTATGGCAAAGAGGTATAGAAATGTCATGCATCTGAACATTAACACAAAATATAAATCAAACTAAATGATACTTGAATAATATATATCTATTTTTAATATTAATAAATTCTTATGTTACATGATCACAATAAAAAAACAAATATATATTTCACAGAAACATACTTCATCAACCATCACGGAATACTGACTCACACACTATATAAGTAACACACTGTATACCAGATATAACAGATACTCTCAACTGTCGTGTGACGGATAACGCATCAAAAATAAAATGACATAAAAGGAATACCCAATAACTAACAGCTGGACACAAAAATAGGTGCAGCAATCGTCTCGGTCACACTTCCTCCCAGGCAAGATCCATCCTCCAAGCACATGAGTCTCTACCATGTATTGTAGAACATACTGGGTCATCTGACAGTTCTGGAGCTCACATGTGGAATGGGAGAGACACCAGTTTGGAAGAGGTTGAATAATACTTAAAAGGATCTCTAGATACCTAGCTTTTCTACATACAGTAAAACCTTGATAACCCAGACATTACTGTTGACAGTGATTTAAGTTGATTCTCATTATGTCTGGCTTAATGAATCATGTATCTTTAATGATATTGACATCCCCCCCAACAAGAACAATCTGGGAAAGGAGTTTCCAAACTAACAGGTCCAGATTAACGAGGTCTCACTGTACTTTGTAAAATATCCAAAAGAGGGTCCGGATTAACGAGGTCTCACTTTACTTGGTGATATATCCCAGACAGGGTCCGGATTAACGAGGTCCCACTGTACTTGGTAATACATCTCAAACAGGGTCAGGATTAATGAGGTTTCACTGTACTTGGTGATACATGTATATCCGAAACAGGGTCCAGATTAACAAGGTTACACTGTACTTGGTGATATATCCCTAACAGGGTCCAGATTAACGAGGTACCACTGTACTTGATGATATATCCCAAACATAAATATTGTCAGAACTCATATAAAATTCCCAGACCACCTCTTCATGAAAAAGAAAAACTGATGATTTTGGAAAAATATATGCATTATAGTGGATTATACAGCGTTGTCATAACAATAATACTACAGGCCATGTGATCATCTGGAAATACTAACTTGACCATGTAACTGTGATATGCATGTACAATGTTGATAAGACTATGTCAGCTTCATAGGCCTGTGGATGACATGTGATTCATCAGTAATATTCAAAGTCCTTTCTTTCAATCTTTGACTGTACGCCACTTCTTCAGATCTATCTGTTTGATCTTCAGTCAGAGAGAGATCACAACATGAAAGAGGGGAGCTTGCCATGTATGTGGAAGTTGTCCCAACTGTATATCAACATGGTGATGTAAGACAGATCAACCGATTCAGCGCCAGCTTTAGTACACATGGGTCTATACAACATGCTCCACCTGCTATTACTTAGCAAGGCCAAACCAATGTGTTTCTTGTTGATTGGCCAATCCTATCCTAACTCTTGTAATCCGTAAGCAAAAATGTTTTGTTTGATGGACATAATTTCAAACAGCATTTCTTGTAGGATATATTTTAGAGGGAATAACCCTAATCCAGTAAAGAATGCTTGATTCTGATTTGTCAAAATAGGAGTAAAATCAGGTTTCAAATTCAATTTGATACCTCTAAATTAACATGCCTTTTCACACAAAAATCTTGTGTATTATATCAAAACATTGATTGTTCCATTAACCTACACTAAAGTGCTTGTTTCAAATTAAAAATGAGGTATCTAATCTGCAGTTGGATGACCTCAAATATCAAAACATCTCACATTCAACACTCTTATTTTACCTCCTGTATCATGTGTGGATTACTGTTAACTCGGTGAACAAGAAACAAATTTGTCAGGCTTAAATAGAAGAAATGGTTTTTAGATTAAATTCAAGATCACAGACCAATCATTCTGACCAGTTGATTGAGAAGAGTTACAAGTACAAGTCACAAACTGTTTTTGTGTGAAGAACAAATGCTTCAATGTTGATGTCTAATTCCGTACTTTGTTACAATAATATCACATGCACATATAAAACAATACACATAATCCTGGTAACCCATAACAATACTGCAGTAGGACATCACACTATTACAAGGAAGTATGTAAAAGACTTCTATAGATATCCTGCGATAAACTCCTCCACTCTGGTGCCCTGAGCTACAACTAATGGCATACATGTATATATATACACTGGATGAAGTGTTCACTTGTCAAACTACTGGGACATCCAGCTGAACACATGCTCTTCAGTTTCTCCATGTAAATTTGAGTGAGTGAGTGAGTGAGTGAGTGAGTGAGTGTGAGTTGGGTTTAATGCCGCTTTTAACAGTATTCCAGTTATATCGCGGCATGTCAGCTTAATGTGGGAGGAAAGCCCGAAGTGATGCAGTTATCAGACATTTACCACTTCAGTGAAACCCATGAGCACGGGTATGGTGCTGACAAACCTAGAAACATAATTGGGGCGAACTGGGATTCGAACCAACAATCATAGGTTTCTGGCGTGCCCAAGGGACGCAACTCAGCAAAGGGAATCGCGGCGCCTTAGATGACTTGGCCACCCATTCCCCTGTGAGTGAAAAGTATTATAAGTATTATAAATTATTACAGAGCAAAGCCCAAACTCCCACACAGTAGATGTTGACCTTTGTTTAAACCCACGAGCAAGGTTGGGTGACAGACCAAGGATTATAATCAGAGTGAATCTGGGATTCAAACCTATGACCAGCGAATCCTGGCACAGCAAAGGGGCAAAACTCTACACTGACCCTTATGACTTCACTTTTAGTATTTTAATTGGATGCATAATACTCATGCATGATCACATAGACAAATACAAGCAATCTTACTGGTAGACTTAATAACAGGTTTACCCGACTTTTTAACATACTCGTTCCAAACCTCCACACGGAATGAATGAAATTTGTAACCATGACTACTGGAAACAGTAATGTTTTTGCTTAGCCTCAAACATGCAATTCAAAGATAATATACAGTCTTCTTCAAATTAAAGTTTATGCCCACAAATATTTAACGGTGTCTGAAGGGAAGTGACAATCTTTGGTCCATAATGTTCCACAATGATATGTGCATGCAGAAGTGACACTAGGCCACGTCAACTTATTTGTTATGTAAGAGCTCTAAATAAGCTGCGTCTTTGTGAAAATTATGCAAAATAAATCACCATTACCCAGTTCAATTGGAGTTGCTTCCGTTCAAATATGAATGAGAAAGCTTAAATCATTAACAGTTTGAGAACACTCAGTGTTCTTCACAAATGTATCCTTTTCAATTTGTGTACCTGGTTTCTTTACCATGTTTACAGATCTCTATGTACAGGCCTCACACATGAAGTCTCCTGCAGTGAATAATGCTTCAAGAAGGCGGTCCATCTCCCTATTGTTAATTAGACATGATCACTGTTGTGAGTTCATGCGACATATTACACACTTGGGGCAGTAAACAGTCGTCCAAAACAGCATTTAAAGCAGATATATTTTCAAAAAATGTCTATTTGTTGGTGTAGAAATACCCAGTACTCTGAACCCAAGAGAGTAACATAGAGTATTAAATACACAAAGTAAACACCCAGTGTGAATGATAATTTGGGAGTAAATACTCAAAGGCTCCAATGAGCTGGATGCCTGTATAAATGCAATCTCATAAAAATCAGATCTTAGTTCTCGCTACCGCTAAACAAAGATCTGAGGACATTCCATTATGGGTCACGTCAGAATGACCTTTCGCGAATTTTGACCGACCAATGAAATGACTGACAAGAAATCGACATTAGCCAATCAGAAGGCAGCTTTTCTCAAGCTTTAGGACACTAGTTTCAAACTGGTGACTACGCTTCGAATCATATTTTGACGTATTCTCGATTAAAAAAATTAAAACTGTTAAGAAGAACATTCTGGAATGGCTTATAGATGGCCTAGATTGTATGGATATAATCATAAAACCCCTAACTGTCGTTCGGAATACCCTGTGTTAAATATTTTGTGGTTGCATAATTAGAAAACACATTCCGACTGTCACTTTCATAATCTGGTAAGCATCGCTCTGATTGGTCGGATGAAAGGTCGTTCTGACGTGACCCCTAATGGGATGTCCTCAGATCTTTGTTTAGCGGTAGCGAGTACAAAGGTCTGATTTTAATGAGATTAGTATATATGGTATAAATCATGAGGCCTACCCTTACTCAGGCAAAGAAAGTGACTGTGTTGGATATAAAAAATAATTTTAAAAATCTGTACTTATCATGCTTATAAAGGCAATGCATTTATCAGAGGAGCTTTTATTACCATTGTTCAGCTATCCTTGTAATCAATTTTTAAAGGAGGACCAACAACTGTATCTTACAACGATCAACTCGTGCCGACGAAATAGTGAACAAAATTGTTTATAATTATAATACATATTTTACTTTATGCAACAGTTCAAGATGCAGAAACCCTGGCTTTGTATGAGAAAACCAGAAGTATCATCTGTGAGTATTTTACTCTATCTGTTTTACTGACAAATTGGTCCCATATTCAGTGAGCGAGACCCGGGTTCGATTCGCCACATGGGTGCAAAGTGTGAAGCCCACTTGTGGTTTCCCCCGCCTTGATACTGCTGGAATATTGTTAAAAGCGGCGTAAAACCATACTCACTCACGCACTAATGTGCCCAAAGAATGCAACTCTGCACAGCAAATTGCGGTGCCTTAAATGACTGGGTCACCCATGCTTCTCCCATGTTCAGAATAACCTTGATGTGTTCATGCACCAGTCACTTATTGCTCAGTTAAGTGAAAGGTCTACAATGTAAAATGTTACTGATATTAACAATATTTTCTAAAGCTAGCATAAGGTGGAATGACCATGTGAAAGGAACTGAATGACATGGTGTGCTTATGGTCACATACTGAAAGCTAATATCACAATCTTTCTCGGGAACACTCCCTGTTGATTAAATTTGCCCTAAGATGTCACTATGAGCCTTTATGATGTCACTATGAGTCACTACGAGGTCCCCTTGAGTCACAATGAGGTCACTTTGAGTCACTACAAGGTCACCTTGAGTCACTACAAGGTCACCTCGAGTCACTATGATGTCACCTTGAGGTACTATGAGGTCGCCTTGAATCACTATGATGTCACCCAAGCTGTCAGCTTGAAGGTCACCTGTGATCTGCCTTGTCAATGAAGGAAGGGAGCAGCTGATGAATAGGATGAGATACAGCTGGTCAGAGCCAGAGCAGTGTCAAGACTATGGACAAACATGTGCAATGAAGGTCATCACAAATGTTGACTAATTCACAATAAGAACTCACATAAAATTACATTTGTCCAGTGTTGCTACTGTTTTATAAGGCTGAGAGATGTAACCTTGATTGTAGCAGGTAATACCACCTTGATCGCCACCAGTGATAATGAACAATACCACAATGATTGCCACCAACGATGGTCATGAACAATACCACAATGATTACCACCAACGATGGTCATGAACAATACCACAATGATTGCCACCAACGATGGTCATGAACAATACCACAATGATTGCCACCAACATTGGTCATGAACAATACCACAATGATTGCCACCAACATTTGTCATGAACAATACCACAATGATTGCCACCAACATTGGTCATGAACAATACCACAATGATTGCCACCAATGATGGTCATGAACAATACCACAATGATTGCCACCAACTTTGGTCATGAACAATACCACAATGATTGCCACCAATGATGGTCATGAACAATACCACAATGATTGCCACCAACATTGATCATGAACAATACCACAATTGATTGCCACTGATGATAGTCATGAATTATGCTACTATAATTGTTTCTGATGATGGTCATGAACAATGCCACTTCAATCACCACCAAAGTTGGTCCTGGACAATGTCACTTTGATCACTATCAACAATGGTCATGAACAATAACAATAAGATTTCTACCAATCCTGATCCTGAACAATGCAACCTTGATTATAGAAGTACTATTTGTCAGGCGTCTATATTCCTGGAAAAGTCTGAACAGTAACAACCATTAGTAACACAGGCACATATTCTGCCCACATTTCCACTGATGAGGTCAGAATGAACTTGGTCCCACGTCCTGTATCACCACATCCAACTGTGAGGTCTGATGTTCTCTAGGTTGGTGTGATGATGACCCTCCTCCAACCACACTGGCATCACCACATTGGGTTCTTCTTGAACATGCCCCGCCAGTGGGCGCTGTCGGCATCGTTGATCCTCTTCTTCAGGAACTCAATCTTCTGGTCCAGCTCCCCCATCTCCTGCAGCACAAACAACACTGTCACCAGAACAGAAAGGGACAGATTTTATACAGAGACAGTTCCATGTGGGAAACACCATTCACAAGCTGGTCTTGTTAATGACAAGCCAGTTCCGTGGTCTACAGCTGCTTCTTATGGAGGGCTATTTTGTTGACAATGTTCCTTGCATGAGCATACAAAACTAAGGACCATAACCGCCCAAAAAGTGACTTGTTAATTTATATGTCAGCTTTCTGCCGATGTCACTAATGATTACAAATTTGTACCCTTACATGTTTTTATTTGTTTGTTTGTTGTTTAACACCGCAGTCAGTAATATTGCAGCTATTTGACAGCAGTCTGTAAATAATCGAGTCTGGACCAGACAATCCAGTGATTGACATCATGAGCATCGATCCACGCAAATGGGATACAATGACATGCATCAACCAAGTCAGCAAGTCTGACCATCCGATCCCGTTAGTCGCCTCTTAAGACAAGCATAGTTGATTTTTACAGCAAGCATGGGTTGCTGAAGACCCATTTTACCACGGATCTTCACGGGTCCCTTACATGTAGTACAAGGATACACAGATTCATCGTTGGACTTATAAAAATAGAATCAATCATCTGCAAATGCAAATTGTGTCTGAAGTAGTAACGAACTACTCAAATTCAGATCTCAGGTGAGCAATTTCCGATATTTATCTACCATCTTTTCGTGTTTCTATCTCCTCTACTCGAGTTCTCTAATGTACAGCTTGTACAACACACATACTCTAGATATCAGATCTATCGTAGTAATGAACTAAAGATACAAAATGTCCAACACTTTGGTCACTTTTCTGAATCCTGAGTGGTATCCTAGCAAAATGCCTTTCAGTCCACCAAGCGCAGGTATCTTTTGTTTCGTGTTAACATTGTATATAACTACTGAAACATGACAATCTAAGGCACAGTGTCTGTGTCATAATCTCTGACAATAACTAAGACTGTACACTCACAGCTTTGATTTTCTCTGACCGTCTGTTGTTTAGTTCAGGTGTGGCTGTCTCCAGAGCCTGCAGCTGAAACAGATGATGCAGACACTGACTACTCCGACACTGGGCTCTTCCTGAACAGTCTTCAGAGAAGATTACCTTTCCTTATTCAAAAACACACCAAACCACAATAGAAGTTCATTCAAGTCACTTGTACTGAAACACATCTAAATACTGATATCTGTGGTATATGTTTAAAATTGCTGGTAAAGACTATGCTGCATCCAACAATGGAGAATCTGGCAAGGTTCAAAAGTCTTGTAAAAAAAGGCCGAATGGGTGTTTTTTTCCAGAAAGCATTAACAAATAAACATGAGCAAGTCTTGCTACAGCTTAGGAGATGTTGGTACATCTTCGGTTAAGAACTTGCTCATAGTTCCTTTTCCAAAAGTTTGAAAAAATTGCCTTTTTAAACTATTTTAGCCAAAAGATACACAATGCTAGTTGTTTTTAACTTTAACATATTACTTACTAAGTATTTGCCTAAGTAAATTCTCGTAGGCCATATTGGCTTTAACCCAGCCTTTCCTTCAATGTTTTGATGAAAACTGAGTGAGTGAGTGAGTGAGTGAGTATGGTTTTACGCCATTTTCCAGCAATATCATGGCGGGGGACACCAGAAATGGGCTTCACACATTGTACTCATGTCTGGAATTGAACCAGGGTCTTCGGCGTGACGAGCTAACGCTTTAACCACAAGGCTACCCAACCGTCCCTCGCCCAGATGAAGGTACAGAAAGGATAAGAATGTACCAACCCTGATGGTGATCTCGGACAGCTTGGTCTTGACTGCATCGCTGTAGCTGCTCAGCTGGACTGACCTCTCGCATGGCATCACTGTCAAAACATTTACCTACGGTAATTAACAGAGTCGTTGTTTGCAGCATGTATTCCAGGTATTGCTATTTGTTCTGCACAGGGAATAACCATGGGGGAACAGGTGGCCAGTATGTCGAAATGACATCAATTTTGCTACCAAGAGTTTTCCCTTAGCCATGCCAGGAATCTATGGTAGTGAGTTTAAATCCTTGATTCACTGTGATAATGTTTCTAGGTTGGTCAGCACAGTACCCATACATGGGTTTCACCAAAGTGGTACACGTCTTAGACCTACATCACTTTCCTCCCCATGAAGCTGACACGCTGTGATATAACTGAAATACTTTCAAATAAGTGTTTACTCGCTTATATAACCAAGTGAGTGTGTGACATTGTAATGTGTCTATCATGCTGGGTCAGCTATGAGAGGAGAAATATTATAGGGGTATTGGTGTTTCAGGTTGATAGCAATAGTGAAATATTTCCTTTGTAAAATTTTTTTCAACTCCTAAGTTTTTTGGTTTGTTGTTTAACGCCGCACTCAGCAATATTCCAGCTATATGACGGCAGCCTGTAAATAATCGAGTCTGGACCAAACAATCCAATGATTAATATCATGAGCATCGATCCACGCAATTGGGATCGATGACATGCATCAACCAAGTCAGCGAGCCTGACCACACGATCCCGTTGGTCGCCTTTTACGACAAGCATAGTCACCTTTTACGGCAAGCAAGGGTTGCTGAAGACCTATTCTACCCCGGAATCTTCACGGGTCCATTTCCTTTGTAATTTTTAGTCATTTAGTAGATTGCAGACAAACTAGAATTCTTTCAAAAACATGTTGCAAACAATTGCATGCCAAACAAAGTACTGATCTGCATGAAGGTATTTAAAGGTAAACTAACCAACACAAATATGTTAACAAAATTATGTAAATTATATAATAAAAAAACTAATGCCTTTCTACTTTAGGCTTATTTTTTAATGCTCACCATTTTGATAGAGTCTCACAACCTCCAGCACATAGGGCCTGGAAATAAACACAATACATGATTCTTACAACAAGCCTTAGAACACAGAGACATAGGGACGATGATGTGTGTGTCAATGTGGCTTCACTCTTTACATCTGTCAGCTTCCTACTAATGAACCAATGGTTGGCATAGTTATATAACTGCAATAATCTTGAATGCAGTGTTAAACCCCATTTCAACCCACCTCACTAATGGCCGAATATGCTATCAATCTTCCAAAGTGTATATACATGTATGATGTTTTGTCTGTTGTTTAATGCCACACTCAGCAACATCCCAACTCCATGACAGTGTAAACAATCACGTCAGAGTCTATGATGCAGATTGTTACATTGACAGCTTTACAACTAAACAAACACTGAACAAAACAATAGAAATTACAGGTAAGCTCCAAAAGCTATTAAAAAGAAAAAAAGAGAGTAACAGGTCTCGATTTGTGGAATTTCATTTAACTAGCATTAGGTACACGAAAACAAAACATTTGTCTCATACATTTATCATAGTTGAAACAGAGGCTGGTCTGTTACCAGTGTCACATGATTTAATGAATGTAATAGAAAAATATGCACATACCCTATTCGACATAATAAGCGCTCCGTTCTAATAAGCGTCCACGGCGATACATGTATACTGATTCTGATAATGATGTGGCAGTCTTGAATATGTTCCATAAATACATAACAGCAGTGTTTAAAATGAAGGGGGTCCTGTGGTCCTTGATATTTGATGCTATACCGATAATCATGATAATAGAAATGTAGTACCGTATATCGCCTTCTATATGGCGACCCCACGTATAAGACGACCCCCCTGTACAAGCCTTTAAAATCAATGCTAATTAAAATACCCCGTCTCTAAAGCGAATCGGAATGAAGCACGTCACCAGCACATACACAATCCCTACAATTGCAAAAAACCACATGTTTGTCTTCTGCAGAAAAAAATTACATCGTTTTCAGGGAAACAAACAGATCATAACAATTAAACTTGGTCAATGCAAATTTAAAAGTTAAGATAACAAAACACTAGACATGATCATTTACCAATTAACTTATATTTCCTGTACTAATAGGCATTGTTTTATATGCAGAGATTAAGATTACCGAAGTAGCAATCAGCTGAACACAGAATCAGAATCTACCGGAGATTTGGTTAATAACCTGCCAATAACTTTTTTAATTATATTTAAATGTAAGACCCTTTTAAATATTTAACTTTAACATTAGAGTAATGATAAAGACTGTGACTTTCATGCTTATTTTCAAACACCGAAGCATGTATATAGACCTGCTCTTACACTTCGCTAGTGTTGGCCTCGATCCTGCTGTTGATTGGGATGAGAGAACCCCTCGTGTTCCGCAGCTGAAAATATACAATCACACCATTAGTAAATTACCTTATAAATTTATAATCAAGTTTATTCTTATTAATTTTATTTTGTTGACTAAGATTACTGAGCAAACAGTGAACAAGCAAGTTGTCCAAGCCACATAGAAAACCACAACTACAAGACAGCAAAGTTGGGTGTCCACTTCTTAATGAGAGAACCTTTTTCACTGGGCCCGCTTACACAGAACCCCTTTTCTGAGGACACTCTTAGCAGCTACAAGGATGTTAAGGGTGCCCTTAAAGAATTTTTACACTGGTTTCACAAAGCTCCCTTAGTGTCATCGTAAGCATAAGATTTTCTAAGACCCCCTTTGCATGAAGGTGGAACTCTTTTGCAATGGAGATGCGTATTTCCCTGAGTTTCCTAACTAGAGTAGTCTCCCTTGTTGCAAGGGCCTGCATACTCTGATAATTTATGAAGATCTAACCCAAAGGGGTCTTTGTGAAAGAGGTTGGTGCCCTTAGTGTAGCACTAAGGGCGAAGTTACGATCACCTTGGCCTAAGGGGGCTCTGTGCAAGTGGGCCCTGATCTGGCACTCAAGTCTCAAACATTCCTACTATAGGAAGGCTGGCTGCTAACTGTACCCCAGCACTGATCCCCCATTGGTGGATCCAAAAGGGGGATGAATGGATGCATACACTATTGTTCAGTCACCTTGTGTGTCAACCTGCCCCATGCATTTGTTTAACTCATGACTAGGGTATCTTAGAGGAGTCCCTGTGAGGATCTGAGTCAGGGTTTTTCTCCAACAGCCATGCTTGTGGAAAGAGGCGACTAACGGGATTGGGTGGTCATGTTGTTGCATGTCATCGGATCCCAATTGGTGGAACGATGCTCATGATGGCCATCACTGGATTGTCGGGTCCAGACTCGATTATTTACAGGCCACTGTCATATGGCTGGAATATTGCTGTGTGAAGCATTAAATAATAAACAAACAAACCTTTTTCAAAATCCTGGTACAAAGTCTGTGACCAAACAATGTGGGCGAGTGACTGACAGTACAAAGTATGACACATCATCATTCATGAGGTCTGTTAAGCCAAACTTTTTTATTTCATGGTTTTACCTTGACATACAAAAATGGGGGTCAAGGGGACCCCAATAATTAATTTTGAGGGTCCTGTAAAGTAATGAAATGGTGTGATGTACTGTCTGTCTTAATATTTACCATAGAGCCTGGAATGGTTGGTTGGTTGGTTTGTTGTTTAACGCCGCACTCAGCAATATTCCAGCTATATGACGGCGGTCTGTATAAATAATCGAGTCTGGACCAGACAATCCAGTGATTGATATCATGAGAATCCATCCACGCAATCAACCAAGTCAGCGAGCCTGACCACCCGATCCCGTTAGTCGCCTTTTAGGACAAGCATAGTCACCTTTTACGGCAAGCATGGGTTGCTGAAGATCTATTCTACCCTGGAATGACTCAATGATCAAGTGGACAGTGGTCATGATTAAATGACACATGCCCATCAGGGGTGTTCTTGTCTAACCCGTGAAAGTAACGTACCCGGCAAGTGGGAAAATATAATGGAACTGCCCTCAGGCAAGAATGAAAATCTGTGGTATTAACTTTGAAACTTAGAAGATGCATCGTGTGTCAACACAGATAAAGTATCTGACTTGTTATTTTTCTATTCTACGCATCTCCCAAAAGCTGTTGCTTCAGTTATAAAGTTTTGTTGTTAAAATTAAAGTTTTCTTCATTCCTCTAATTTAGCAGGGCAAGTTGAAAATCTGACCTGACATAAATTTTAAGTTTTTTAAATTTTGGTATTTGAACATCCAATCTCCACATTCTTGCGTACTAGACGCACATTTGTGCCTCGCATAAAACCCTGATGTGTATTTATGTCTCGCATAAAACCCTGATGTGTATTTATGCCTCGCATAAAACCCTGATGTGTATTTACGCCTCGCATAAAACCCTGATGTGTATTTATGCCTCGACCTCGCATAAAACCCTGATGTGTATTTATGCTTCATCAGCACTGGCAATCTTTCAGACATTTGCAGTGAATGTACACCATTGTTTTCAGCTTCAACAGCAGGCATACACAATACCACCATGTAAACTACTGGATCATGTCAGGGCAACCTCGTCAACAACTGTCATCAACATGATTGAACAGGCAGTCCCAGTTGGTATTATATAGAGCTAATTAGGCAGACATTGTTCACATACCCATTCAACGTAAATGACAAACCCTGAGTAAGTCTCGACAGGCCACAGACCAGCAGATAATAGCATGAACAGGATTTTGATTTGGTTGGTGTTTTGTTTAATGCCGCACTCAGCAATATTTCAGCTATATGACGGCAGTCTGTAAATAATCGAGTCTGGACCAGAGAGTCCAGTGATTAATTTTATGAGCATCGATTCACGCAATTGGGATCGATGACATGCGTCAACCAACTCAGCGAGCCTGACCACCCGATCCCGTTAGTTTTACGACAAGCATAGTCACCTTTTACAGCAAGCATGAGTTGCGGAAGACCTATTCTACCCCGGAATCTTCACGGGCCTACAGGATTTTGAAATAGGGGTGCACACTGCCTTTGTGTGAATGTTGGGTGTAGGGAGCGGGGCGCGGGGTGCGGGGTGCGGGGCGCGGGGAGGAAGGGGTATATCGTGTGGAGTGCACCTTCTGCAAACCCCCTCTGGATCATCAAATGCCCCACCATCAGGTAGGATGACCAACAATCATTTACAAATTAACTGCTTGATCCTTGTATATTTGCTCTCCCCTCAAGCATGGGGACCGAGGGAGCCATCCATTAAACATGTTAAAAACCATTAATGCTAGTATTTCATCGCACTGTACATACATAAACTGATGATACCAACGAAACATGTTTATACATATACACCAGGGGTCCGGAAACGGTCATATGCGCCGGACATGTCCGATTGGGAATCTCAAATGTCCAATTTAAAATATTGCTTACCGGACATTTTAAAAAACATTTTGGTGTATATTATACACTCTTGAAAATCCCCACAGCTAAACTGGTAGAGTAACTGGTAGAGATCATCTATGGATTTTTTTATTTTCACACACGCATGCATGCATGCATACACACCCATGCATACAAATATTTACACCAAAAGGCAAAAGTAACTTTCGCCAGGTGCATTTCTGATCATTTCTTCATTGCCAAAGTTACAGAGATAATGGAATGTACTGAGTGAAGGAGTGAGTTGGGTTTAATGCTGCTTTTAACAGTATTCCAGCTATATCGCAGCATGTCAGCTTAATGTGGGAGGAAAGCCCGAAGTGATGCAGATGGAATGTACTGTCTCCTGGGAGTTCTGGGCCCTTACCTCCCTGCCCCACCCTGCTGCCCACCTCTTTACAATGGAGACCGCCTCTATCTTCCATGGTCTAGTGGTAGATCGTCCGCCTGGAGAACGGAAGGTCCGGGGTTCGTTCCACAGCCGCATCATACCAAAAGACGTTAAAAGATGGTACTTTTTGTTACCCTGTCTGGTACTCGGCATTAAGAGGCTAAAACAAAGACTGGTCGGCATCAGTCCGGACTAGTACAAGTAGCCACCCACACACGTGCATGCATGCGCTATGTAAGTGCAATAATCTTGGACGCGACGTTAAACCCCATTTCACCTCACCTCGCACCTCTTTACAATGGCAAAGGAAGGGGCGTCTTTCCCTCGTGTTGTACTCACATCTTCATGGATGTCTTGTGGTCTTAAGACCTTTTTCTGCAAGTACTTGATCACTGCACTATGCTCAAATTTTCATTTTCCAAAGGTCAAAGATCCCTGACTAATTCCCTCTGACATGTCACAACGAAACAATTTGCTCAGTTGACTCAAGTTTTTGTGTATATAAATCTGTGACAACATGTAATGTCCACAACTATAGATTTCACAATGACACAATTCCTTCTATGTGAGGCTCAGAACTCATCAGTCAACCCTCATACATCTTCTTGAGGCAAGGGAGTTAACTGACTTTAAAAGTCCAGTTTCCACCCTTGCCGAACTAGGCTGGAATTTCTGGGCTCGACCGTAGCGCCACCAGTGGTTATTACGAGTTATGTCCCTTCTAAGCCTTTACAGGGGAAGTGATTACTGATTTACCCTTTACAGGGGAAGTGATTACTGATTACTTATTTACCCATTGGAGGGGAAGGGATTACTGATTTACCCTTTGGAGGGGAAGTGATTACTGATTTACCCTTTGGAGGGGAAGTGATTACTGGTTTACCCTTTACAAGGGCAGCAACTACTTATATACCCTGTGCAGGGTGTGATTACTGATTTACCCTTTGGAGGGGAAGTGATTACTGATTTACCCTTTTGAGGGGAAGTGATAACTGGTTTACCCTTTATAAGGGCTGCAACTACTTATTTACCCTGTGCAGGGTGTGATTACTGATTTACCCTTTGGAGGGGAAGTGATTACTGATTTACCCTTTTGAGGGGAAGTGATAACTGGTTTACCCTTTATAAGGGCTGCAACTACTTATTTACCCTGTGCAGGGTGTGATTACTGATTTACCCTTTACAGGCTGTATGGAGCAGAATCTACACTGCTGATAAAGTAGCTGTGTCTCACACTGCCCATCTGGTGAGTGAGTGAGTGAGTATGGTTTTACGCCGCTTCTAGCAATATTCCAGCAACATCACGGCCAGGGCAACCAGAAATGGGCTTCACACATTGTACCCATGTCGGGAATCGAACCTGGGTCTTTGGAGTGACGAGCGACCGCTTTAACAACTAGGCTACTCGACCGCCCCCCATCTGGAGAGAAACAGGCTGATATCAATTATCTGTTTACTCTTACGGTTTGTAATAACAAGAACGTAAGTTGGTATATGTAAAATGCATATCAAATACATTCTAAATACAGTCAAGTCTCGTTAATCCGACATCGTTGGTTGCACATGATTGTGTGGGATTAACGAGTATGTCGAATTAACGAAATTAAGTGATTTGT